ACAAAGAGAAACAATCCAAAATTAACACACAAATGAGCAACTAACAGCAGCAGCAGAAAAGTCCAACCACTCGGCCTGAGCAATCTTAAAGAGTTTGTGCTCTGGAATTAAGGTTTTTTGGAAAATCCACAAGTTCCTCGATTTCCAGAGCCACCAAAGCATATATGTCGTGAGTTGGATTCGAGCTTCGGCTACCTCTGATTTGTCTAGGGAACACATCTTATACCACCAAGCCTTGAAAGAATCAGTGCAGTCAATCAAACCATCCCAGCACAAAGGACTCAACTTCCAAACTGTAGATGCTCTGCTACATTGTTGCACATGTGATTGGCATTTTGAGTTTTAATTTTCAGATTTTGAGTTTTAAGCTGTGGGTCTAGTTTTGGAAACTAGAGCAATATGAAGGATCTATTTGCAATTTTCTTAACTTTGATATGTTGCACATGTAATTGGGATTTTGAGTTTTAATTTGTGGTTCTATTTTTGGAATTAGAGAAATAAGAGTGATGTATTTGCAATTTTTTTTAAGTATGATATGTTGTACATGTAATTGGTAAATCTGATCAATATATGCACAATAACATTGTGCGAAATGCACAATAACATTACGTGAAATGCACAATATTGCACGAGAATATGCATATTAACAATGTTGTTCTATTAAAAGTTTGCAAAATTGTCAAAATGTAACCGCGCTTAGAGTCGTTCATTGGTCAGTCGAAATTAAATTAATTGTGTCAAACTTTTGAAAACAAGCGAACCAAAATAGATCTGACATCAAACTCACATAACTTGAATTTTAGAATTAAAATCATATCTAAATGAACAAAAATTTTAGATCGGTATGTTGTGCAATTCAGAAGTCATTAAGGTGCAACTAATCTAACACTACTGTGCATTGATTTGGTTAATATTGTGCAGTCCGAACCGACCAAACATTTGTCCAACGCTGGATTGAATTCGTATCGAATTACTTTATTTATTCGACCGTTTGTTTGAATTACCTTAAATCATTAAAATAAATTATTATTTATGATAAACAAATATCTAGTAGTTTATTAATTTTACTTAATAGTTTTGTATTATTTATTGGTTGCGAATACATAATATATAAGAAGTACCAAATTTGACAACGTGCATCCTCACAAATATAATTGTGCATTCAGTCTAACATTAGTGTGCATTATTCTGAGCATGTACTTTTTATGTTTAATAATTAATTAACATTACGGCACATTTATCAAATTATGTAATAAAAATATGTTTAGTCTTTATAGATTTTTATTTTATATTTATATTATTGTTTGTTGAAGAATAAATAATATATGAATAGATAAAATAAATCACTATTATTTTATTTTAGTTCGATCGATTTCATTATTTTGCTTTATATTTGTTTAAATAAATATAAAATCAGACTAGAATAACCAAGAGTTTTAATATTTATGAAAATTAACATTGGTATGACGATGTGCGTTATCGAATGAATTAACGTGCATTGGCCTAACAATATTGTGCAACCTCATAGTTACTATTGTGCATATTGTTTAACAATATTGTGCCTTCATATACAAATCCAAATTACATATGATTCGCTTTGAGTTATGTTTATGTAAATAATCGAAATAATTTATTATATATATGATAAATATTTATTTCTTATTTTAATATTTTTATTTATTATTTTATATTAATTTATTATTTTATATCATTTTTATTTTCTTTTTTTATAATTATTTTAGTATATATGTATAAAATAATGTATAATAATAATATTATATTTTTATAAATTATATATTTGGCCCAAGGACCCAATTGAAATATAACTAACTAAAAAAATTACAACTAGGTCCCCTATCAATATCTAATTCCCAAAAACCAGCCCTCCCTTCCCCACCCCCATAACTAACAGCTCAGCCCGTCAGTTCCGGTCAGCACCGTCGTCCGCTTCTCGCCGTCGCCGTCGTCCGCCTCTCGCCGTCCGATCATATGTCGTCTGTTTCTCGTCTCCAGCCGAAGAGGACGTGCCAACATTCCCGGCGACGTCGGACCTTGAAGACGGTGCTTCAATTGCCGTGGCCCACGACATGAAGTTTCTCGAGGTCGGCGGAGGGAATCGGAGATTTCTCGAGGTCCGCGGCGGAGATCGGAGATGGTACTTGAACCAGGGCGGCGGCCGGAGGAGTTATAGAGACAGGTGGTGGAGGTTGACGAGGCTGCCGGCGTCGGACATGGGATGAAGAAGATGACGGCGTTGGGCTGCGGCCGATTTAAAGCTACTGTGTGTGGGGGTGTGTTTCTGTGTGTGTACTGTGCGTGTATCGGTGTGTGTACAGTGTGTGTGTTGGGGAGAAAGAAAGTGCATTGAGACCCGTGTGTGTATGTGTGCTGGGTGTGTGAAAGAGAATGGGTGGGTGGTGAGTTAGTAGGTTAGGAATTAATTAGGGTGAGGTGGGGCCCACAGGCTGGTTAGTATAAAATTTACCACACTGCCCTTAATGTGTTTAAAATTTAGGACTTTTTTTTAGCTGTTGGATTATTCGATCCAATGGCTGAAATTTATTTTTATTTCTTTCATTGAGCACCATTCTCACCGGAGCGTGACCATATATATATATATATATATATATATATATATATAGAATTTGGATCATATGAGAAAGGGAGTTGGTGTAAGAAACAAGAATGATTTTAGACTATTGGATCCAACATACCAATGGTCATGATCAAGTCAAATATTAAATATTGTAGTCAAACTTGCAATGGCAGTTTTGTAAATAAGAGTTCAATTAGGAGTCAAATGTATAAAATTGACCATTAAGTAAGGACACATTGGTCATTAAACAATCACCCTCATCCACACCACGTGGGCCCACCACTACCAAACCCTCCACTCTCTCTCACACACTCACACACACAAGTTCACCGGCCACAGTACACACAACCTGCTCCAACACAAGATGCACACACACACACACACACAGCAGCCCCATCG